TGCCCAATGTACTAAAAAGTTGCATGTATCACTAATTTAAATTTTTAAATAGGAACTTAGAGGTGTAAATCAGGTTGTGCCGCTTGTGGCCCGGCTCGACTAGGCATGATGGTTCGTGTTGTGCTGGGCCTGGGGTTCGAAATCCATGGGCCAACACGACCCAGCCCGTCATGGCCCGTGGGCCCATAACGGGCCGCACTCAGCCCACCCGAGAGCTAGTCGCTAGGGTCCCTCCTAGCAGCTAGTTTCAACTTTTTGGGGATTTTTTTACATAAATACCCCATAATAGCTATAAACATCTATATATGGGGGATATTTATGTATTTTGGTTATGGGAGGGGAGAAAAAATGACACAAATGCCCCCAACAACTATATAATAGGGGCATTTTAGGTAAAGTGATAAATAGCTTTACAATGACCAAAATACCCCTCTCAACAACTAAAAATTGGTTTGTTTTTAGGGTATTTTGGGCAATTGAATTATTTTCAATTCCTATAAATAGCTCTATCCTCCACCATTCTCATTACACTAATTCAACAATTCTCTTAATGTCTTATCTCATACTGTCATACATACTCTAAAGCCTGAATTATGATTGATCGATTTTCTAATTCTCAACTTTATTGAAGTTTTAAAAAGAATAAGGCTTGCTCAACCAGCTCAAGTATCTCAAGTTAGCAATTTGGGAGGCTTGGTCTCTTGGAGTTGAAAGACTTCAACTGTTGAAATCAAGTTGGAATTTTGAACCGACAATCTGGGTAGGTCCAATAAATTAATTTTAATTGTTTTAGAATTTAAAAAATGGTTGGCTTCCCACAAAACCAATTCCCCAAAATGTTCAATATTGACGATATTTAGTCGCATCATGATAGTGTTAGCACCGATATGATGCTATTGATAATGATAGAACTTCCACCCCTAGTACTGATACTAGGGGAAAGAAAAAGAGGCCTTTAAGGATGTGTTTGGTTTGAAGGAAAAATTAGGAAAAAGAAGGGAAACCTATATAAGGCTTGTAAAGGTTTCCCTACATTTTCCTTCAAACCAAACATAGCCTAATTTGATTAACCCGGTTTGGAAAATAAAGTAAAAGAGGTTAAGGGGAAGGGAAAAAGAGTTGTTTGTCAAAAATGTATAAAAGACTTTAAATATTGTAGCAATGGTGGTACTAGCCATTTGGGTAGACATTTGCTCACCCGTGAGAAAGAAAAACGGAGAGAAACAACACAAACACGGGGGGAGGGGTTGGTACATTTAAATATTCTCAAGAAAAAATGAGGCAATAATTAACAAGATACATTGTACATGTTGAATAACCATTTTTGTTAGCAGAAAATACTAAACTTAAAAAATGGTTACGTAATTCTGTAAATCCACAATATAAAAATGTTTCTAAGAATACTATTAGATCAGATCCTTTAAAATTTTTGTATTCATATAAATAAAATTTAATTTATATGTTATCAAACCTTAATTCAAAAGTTGGATTTACTTCTGATGTTTGGATTTCTAAATTTAACATAAGTTATATTTGTTTTACCGGACATTTTATTGATGAAAATTGGCTTTTTAAATAAAAGAATTTTAAGTTTTACTTGGCTTGAATGACCACATACTGGCCTACCTATTGTTGCAAGCATTTTAAATACTTTTAATGCTTATGGAATTGAGAATAAATTATTTTCTTTAGTTTTGATAATGTTAATAATAATGATTCTACAATAAATATTTTAAAATTTCAATTAAAAACATGTTTAAATGGTAAACTATTTAATATCAGATGTGAACGTCACATCTTAAATTTATGTATTCAGGATGCTTTAAATGTTATATCTACTCTTATTTCTAATATATATATATATATATATATATATATATATTAAAATTTCTTGAGCAAGAAAACAAGAATTTAAATATTTATGTCAACATTATGGTTTAAAATATAAACATTTTATATTAAATGTCAAACATAGATGAAATTCTATCTATGCTATGTTAGAAAATTGTATTTCTCATAAACAATTCTTATTGATTTTTATAATGCAAAAATGCCTAATGATATTATATTTGAGGATGACTGGGAAATGACAATTTGTATAAAAGATTTTTTTTAAACATTTTTATGATGCTACTAATTAATTATCGGGTATTTATTATGCAATTAATTGTAATTTACCTTATCAATTAATGGTGATTAGTGACTGTTTTGCAAAATATAGAAATAATCCACAATTTAAAAGTATTGCTGAAATAATGGAAAATAAATTTAAAAAATATTGGGAGAACATTTCTCCTCTTTATTGCTTAGCTACAATATTAGATTTTAGGATTAGGAAAGATGGTTTAGATATTTTACTTAAAAACATATTGTGAAAATATGAATATTAAAATTGGAAATAAAAAAAGAAATTAATACTTTATTATTCAAAGTGTAAAGTTTATATGAATAGGAAATAATAGGAAATAATTCTACAAATTGTATAGCTGCATCTTCTACTTTTGAACTTGAACCTAGTAGTAGAAGAGAAAAACTTTTTTATTTAATAAGTAGAAAGCAGAAATCTATTAACACAACAACAAGTTCATTTACCAAACTTAATTTTTATTTACAGGCAAATTTTTCTATTTAAGTGAGGGAACAAATAATTTTGATATTTTAGCCTGATGGAGTGAACATTCAAAAAATTATCCAATTCTCGCCGCCATGACACATGATCTACTAACTCCTCTGGTGTCTACAATTCCATCGAAGTCATGCTTTAGTGCAGACACTAGGGTATTGGATGACAAGAGAAGCTACTGTATAAATGATGAAAGTATAGAAATTTGCATCTGCTTTAAAAATTGACTGGATGCTAAAGATAGATTACAAGACAAAGGAGGGCATGAAACTACACTCGATATTTCACTTGAAACAGATGATGAAAGTCATGAACAATAGTTGTATAGAATTTTTTCAAATTATTGTAAATTCTGTTTTAATTTTATTTAATTTATTTGCTATTTTTTAACAATGTAGTTTTATATTTTCAATTTGTAACTATATTGTATTTTTTATATTTATTAATTTATTCCACTTTCCAATTTTTCATATTTCATTCATCCAAATATCCAACCATTGTATGCTTTGTAATTTGTATCATTCAAATTTAAATGAAATAAAATTTCTTTTTTTCTCCTAATTTGTTATTCCATTTTTATTTGGTTAAGTATTTTTTTTCATTTATTTGTTAGATTTATCATTTCTTATTTTTTCAAATAGTTTTCAAAGCCCAAAGGAAAGTTAAATATTTTAGTTTTACACTTTTACTTAACAAAAAATAAAAAAAAATAAAAAATTAGAAAACAAAAAAACAAAAAAGGTAAAAAACCAATCTGCCCGATTTAGCCCATACTCAAGGCCCAACCTAGGCTTGTAGCACGGCATGACATGGCACGAGCTTGGGCCATGGGCCATGCCAGGCCAACCCCCAAGTTATCTCTAAGGAGCGTGACACAACTCAAAACGACCCGCGGACCGACACAGTACAGCCCGCACTTTGCACGAACTATCCACAGCACAACACGACCCAACACGGCCCGTTTTACACCTCTAATAGGAACTTTGTATATAAGCATGCATGCATGGCGTAGTCAAGCCATACTTAGGTTGGGCTAGGTTGAACTAGGTAGGCTAGGGGCTAGGGCTACCTAGGGGCTAGGACAAAACCCAACCCAAGGATTAAAGTCCAAGCCTAAACTATACAAAAAAGCAGGTTGGATTGGTCCAAGCTCGGGTTCGGCTTGCTCAAATTACACCCATAAACCTTGGCAGGTCATAAGTCTTTTTTTTCCCTTTTTTTGGGTATCTTTAGACATTTCTTAAAATAAAAATTAATACAGTAATGTTGATGCTTCTCATTATAATTTTACCTTCTCCGTTAAGGGCAGAGGATTGGAATCTGAAAGTACAAGGTAACTATTTGTCACAAATCAAAGTCTGGGGACGTGTCACAACTCCGAAATTATAAATTTCTGTGGTTTACCCTAATAACTAATTAAAAAAAGAATACTACAAAAATACAAATTTTGAAAACATTGATTGTTTTAACAAACTTGGATCCAGTGTTTTCAACCCATGATGGAATTGATATTAGCTAATCAAATTGATTGATACATCACCAGGCCAAAATTCCAGGTCTGTCTTACCACTAAATTGTTTGTCTATAAAAAAACCATTAACTTGGTTAACCAATCAGTTGAATCATTGAATTGTTTAACTAGATCGGCAGGTCACGGGTCATTTATTTTTTTGGTCTTTTAGCCATTTCTCAGAATAGAAATAAATACCAACGTTGATCCCACTTATCCTAATTCAAATTAGAAATGTAGTTCATATCCTTGAATCATCCAAATTTTTGTTTTAAGAAAACAATCTGTTTTCAAACAATTCAATCTGTTTTCAAATAAAATCGTTTTGATTTGTTTTTGAAATTGGCAACAACAAAAATAATTCATGTTGTAGACTGCCCCCTAAATTGCCACATGAAAACATGTTTTTTAAAACCAGGAATTCAAGAATTCATTTTTTGTTTCAGTTTTTAAAACAAAAAACACAAGTATAACCAAGAACATGTTTTCTTCGTTTTTTTTGAGATTTAATTTGTTTTCAAACCAGCTGGTTTTGTTTTGTTTTTGGAACCAGCAATCAAAAAAGATAGTTCAAATTGGATAACACCCCCAATGATATCTGTACTCCAGAATTAGCTTTTGTTTTAGGAACCACTTATTTCTGCTTCTCAAAACGAAAATACAGCTCAAGAAACTTCTCCAATTTGTTTGCTGATGAGGTGATTTTAAAAGCAAATAAGGCAACAATTCCATACCTCAAATGGATACTACAAAATTTGAATGGAACATAAACTTGAAACTCTACTAACCAAATGGAGAAGGGGAACCAACTGCGCCCATCGATTTGTGAACAATTGCAAATTCAAGCTATTATGCTACCTAGTTCTCCTATAACGGAAGACCACTTTCGATTTTCTTCCATGAATCCACAGCACTACCCTTAACCTTCATCTTCACCTTTTCGGCAATCTCCTTCGCCTCGTCTACCTTAGAGCTCTTCACCAAACCATTAATCAGACCCTCCATGGACTCAAGTGGGGGAGCCCATTTCCTCTTCATACACTCATTGCACATTTCTAATGCCGACTCAAATTCTCCCTCCTCAACCATATATCGAATCATAGTAACATAAGTAATTGAAGTCGGCGCAACATTATCCGAACACATTCTCTCCAAAACCTTCTTTGCAGATTCAAAATCCCCTACCTTGCAGAATCCATGAATGAGAGTGTTGTAACTAGTCGAATTCGGCTTAATACCCTTTGAAACCATCTCGTCGAAAAGTTTCTTGGCTCTAACACACTCTTTGGCTCTGCAAAACCTTGAGATTCTATGATTGTAAGTAGTTAAATTTGGCTGCAGACCTTTGTCGGAGATCTCCTTCACAGTTTCATCAAACTTAGTTGCGTCCTTACGTTTCAAATAAGCACCCAATAAGATATTATAAGAAGTAATATCGGGTGATAACCCTTTTTCTTTTTCCATCTGTTCGAGCAATGAACGAGCCGAGTCGAGCGATTGAAGCGATTTCTCCTTGCAGAAGGCTTTGAGGACAAGGCTATAAGAGACAGCGCTTGGGGAAACCCCGATCTTCGGTGGGATCTCGGCGAACGATTCGTGAACCTTGTCAAATTTGCGGTTCTCCAAGAAAACGCTAAGAATCGCGCAGAGAGACTTTTCGGTTCGATTGCATCCCATCTCCTTCATCTGGTCGAACGTACGGACGGCTTGATCGACCATACCGGCGCTGGAGTAGAGCATCATGATTCGAATCCAGAAACCCTCGGATTTCAGGAATGGAGATTGGGTAAGCGATTTCTGGTGCTCGAGGACCCATTCGATGAGATCCTGTCGTCCGGAAGCAGCAAGCTTTTCAATGGAGAGGTCGAACATAGGTCGATCGCGATTGAAGATCGACAAGTTGGAGGATTTCTGAAAAATCTCTGCTAGTTTTTCAGGATCGGTCTCAGATTTGATAGCCGATCTCAGCTTACGATATGAGGAGAAGGTTGGTTTGTCTGGTGCAGATGAAGTGAGAGTAGAGAATAGGCTACGGGCAACATGGCTTGGAAGGCATCTACGGAGGGCCGCCATTGAAGAGGTCGAAGAGGAATAACTAGGGTTTTAGAATCCTACAGTACAGTGAACACAATTTTAGAGGAAGAACTGAAGAAGCAGTGTTTTAAATTTTGGACCGGAGCCACCCTTTTTTTTCTCCGGGTGGCGGTTAGCGGTTCAACCGTCCAAGTCGAACGTCTCTAACGGTACAAAACTAAAAAGATTTCGATCTAATAATTCGAAATAATTTGTACAGCATCACCTGAACTCAGAGGTCAATGCGAATGGTTCAAATGATTCTTCTCATGTTTCTAATCAAATTCATTGAGAACTACACCGGGTATGGAGCCGGAGAAGGGAAAGGTTAACGGGTCAGAGGTTCAATTAGGATAAAATTGATTCAGACAGAGAATAAGAGAATGGAAAGGTTCATGCGTGCATAGGCAAGGGCGGAGCCAGAAAATTTTTATAAAGAGGGTCTAAACCTAAATGAAGTATGGATGGACCCATAAGGGGCCAACCATTGAGAGAGTGGGGAGAGGGAAAAATTTACATAGGAAGTGAAGAGTTTTTGAACCATAAAGGGGGGCCATAGCTCCCCTGGGTCCCCTGGCTCTGCCCCTGTGCATAGGTCAGACTTCATATGTTTAACCAAGGTCGAACCAAAGATCAAATCATGATGACATAGCACTATATATAATATAACTTTTAATATAATTAAATATGGTGGATGGATATAAAGCTCTTTAAAGCAAATGACTATTGTTCGTCTCTTAATTTACATTTTCTTTAAAATATGAGTATAATAAAGTAATATGTAAAATAAAAAGTAATTAATTGACATAGGTAAAGAGGTGGAATAGTGGTAATTGATGAGAGATAATTTGGCCTATCCAATGATGTGATGACACGTAGAGCGACGAAATGATATGGCGACATTTAAGCAACCTCAGACACCTCGGCGGTTTTAGTCACCTCGAGCACCTCAAATCACCTAGCTAGACCAAGGCCCGAGCAGCTCGCCACACACATTGACTTGCCAAGGTGCCACATAGCCTCCTTCTAGAAGGCAACTAGCTATCTCCAATCTCATGGGGATCATGGCGCATGTCGACAGATTTTATCTTCACCCCACCCAAATTGGACGGACCTAGATAAGCCTGATTAGCTTACTCAGAGTCCATCTTCGAGTGCGAAGCTAACTATGGATTAGACGGGTCAGTGATCTCGGACACGCATCATGAAGCCCACTGCAACTTGCCTATATAAAGGCTTCGCCTCCAGCCTCACAAGGTAGGTACGATTTATCTCTCATATTCTCATACTTACAAGCTATAAGCTCTCTCTAACTCTCCTTCGCTAACTTAAGCATTGGAGTGCCCACATCGGGTAAAGCATCCCGTAACACTTTAATCTTCTTGCCTTGCAATTCGACCTGACCACGTAGCTAGTTTGTCGTTCGAGCTGACTTCCAATAGAGCGACCAGATTGCACATCGTCAGTAATTAAGCAATATATAAAAATAAGAGGTTATAGGTTCAAGTCTTATTAAACACGTTTCAAAATTGCAATTGTTTAAGGACCTGAGTAGTTTCATGGATCCGGGACCGATTAATCAATTTTTTTGGTTAAATTGGCCAATCAGTTGGTTTTCGCTAGGTTTTTAAAAAATATGGTTATGGAATGTGATCGAACTCGTCAGGTCTCAAGTCATGGTTTAATCAATCTGACCAACCAATCTGATCCAGTTTCCTAAACACTGGTTCTAATCAAAGGCGGATTAGGGATTGAGCTGAGATAATATTATAATTGAGTGATTGGTTGAATCATCTTAGTGGGGTGATCATTTTTAACATGGCTCCGCCTTGAAATTTGAATTTTGTGCCTAGGTTTTATGTTCAAGCTTGAGCCCAAGCTTATGTTTCAAGCCCATAACTTGAGTTGAGCTTCAACTTGGCTTATAGCCCTTATAATAGGTGCCAAGATGATGAATACATTAGGAAGAAGAAAGTGTGTCAGACAATCAACAAAATAGAAAAAAAAGTTGCTTCTATGATAAAGCCGAAATAAAACCAGACATATACAAGTAGTAATGTACTCCTTTAGCTGTCAATATGATGAGAAACCTATGTTGCGCCCATGAGAGGGTGAATTGAATTTACAATAAATTTTTTTAGTTGCTCTTCATCAGTTCACTTTGATTAGATTATTTATCTACCTAAACTATTCGATACAAATTAAATAGAATAATAATAATTAAGATACACTTCAAACAATAAATGTATATACTCGGTCTTAATTAATAGAAGTTGATGTAGGCACATACGACCCGGACCTATGGCATGTATGCACGTGGCAGACGATGGTGCACAAGACGGATCCAATGAGGGCGCGCATAGCAGAGGTCGATGTGCAACCCGGAACCAATGGCATTGCCACACGCAACGATCCCAGATGACCGCACTCCTCAAGGCCGGGACACATCCTGGTCGTCCATGCCTGCCTACCTCTAGGCAACCTCAAGTATAAATAAGGGAGAACCTTCTCAAGGTAGACATCTACACCTACAAGATTGGAACTTAGACTTAAGAGCTAGAGCTTGAGAACTCTTAGTCTTCTTTGTGGCCTCATTTGAGTGTTTACCCCTCAGGCCTCGTCCACCTTGCACCCCCCTCATACTAACTTGATCATCGAAGTCTCTGCCTCAGGTACCTACCCGGTAAGGGTGAACAAAAAGAACCAAAAAACCAAATCGACTAAAAAAGTCGATCGAAACCAAACCGAAATAGTCGATTCAGTTTCGGTATGATATTATTAAAAATTGTTAATTCCGGCTCAATTTCGGTTAACCTATTAAAAAAACTAGTGGCTAACCGAACCGACCGGTATATACTAATAATATATATTATATATAATATATTGTATAATGTATATAATATTTTTAAAATCGAATCCCTAATAATCGGCCTCCTCCGCCACGCCTTTCCCCTTTCTTTCCCTCTCTCTGAGTTCTCTCTCACTCTCTCAGACTCTCAGTTCTCTTCTTCCCCAATGGACCGACGGCCTTTGGCGCTCTGCCCTCCGACCGAATCACCGACGTCCAACGATCTTCGGGCTCTGAGCCTCCGACGATCTCCGGGCTTCGAGTCTCTGATGACCGTATCACCGACGTCCGACTAACCGTCTCTCTCTCTCTCTTCTCTCTCTTAGACCCAGTCATCATTTTCTATCTTCTTCTTCTTCCCCAACGGGCAACAGCCTCAAACCTCTGGCCTCTGATCGACGATGTCTCTCACTCTAATCTCTCTCAGTTATGTTCATCGGTTCTCAATTTCTCATCAGCCATCTCTCTGACTCTCTCACTCTCAAAGTCTTCACTCTCTCTCAGACCATCTAGCATCTCCTCTCAATCTCTCATCTCTCACTTGACACTGACTTAGACTCACTTAGACTCACTCAGTCTCTTCTCTCTTAGTCTCAGTCACTCATCTCTCTCAATCTTTCATCTCTCTCAAATCTCTCATCTCTCTCAGTCTCAGTTCTGTTCACTGTCTCTCAAACCATCGACTCTCACTCAGTCTCTTCTCTCTCGGCAAAAAGTCAGCAATCACCAATTGGCAAATCGGCAACTAGTCTGGCACTCGCAAATCACCACCTCTCACTGCACCTCTTTTATGTTTTTTTTTTTCAATTTTTAAAATGAATGAATGTTGTTTGTATTTTTCATTTCAGCTTGAATGATTTTTTTTTGGATTGTTAGAAACTTAGAATTTAGAAATTTAAATGAATGAATGTTTAGTATATTTTTCTCACTCCACCTCTTTTAGTTTTTTTTTCTATATTTTTAGAATGGATGTTGTTTGTATTTTTCATTTCATCTTGCAAGAATTTTTTTTTAGATTGTAAGAATTTAGAAATTTAAATGAATGAATGTTGGCTTAAATCATTGTCTATTTTTTCTGATTTTATGGAGAATTCAGATTAAATCATTGTATATTTTTCTGATTTTATGGAGAATTCGGATAAAATCTTGAATGAATGAATATATTTAGAAATTTACTATATTTTTCTCACTACACCTCTTTTAGGTTTTTTTTTTTTTTTGTATTTTTAGAATGAATGAATGTTGGCTTAAATCATTGTCTTTTTTTTTCTGATTTTATGGAGAATTCGGATTTTTGGCTTAAATCATATGTTTATTTTTTCTAATTACACACGCATTTTTTTATTTATGAGATATATGTCAAGTACAGGTGATAACAATACAATGCCAGAGAGTCAAACTCAAAGTGCCATCAATCATCTAATTAGAACCATAAGCATAAACCCATCTCCTTCTCATGCACTTCAAGTAATGCTGGTAATTCATCTCACCCAGCTAGTTCAAAGATTGATTCAGAAGTTTGTACCACTTCTTCTAGAAAAAAATCTTGGGTGTGGGATCATTTTACTAAACTTGACTGTTAGGACAAAAGTGAACAAAGGGTAGAGTGTAATTATTGTGGTAAAGACCTAGCTTGTCCATCTGCAAGTGGTACTAGTTTCTTAAGTAATTACTTGTCTAGATGTAAACAATATCCCCTTAATAATATAGACAAGTAGCAAAAGACTTTGGAAGATTTATTTCAAAGATCTAAAGAGGGGAGCACCACACCATCACTTGTGTCTTACCAATTTGATCAAGATGAATGTAGAAAGGAACTTGCTAGGATGACTATTGTAGACGAATTACCTTTTAAGCATGTGGAATGAGAGGGGTTTTGTGGCTTCTGTGGTAAGATGCAACTAAGATTTGTAATTCCTTCACGTCACATAGTAGCTAGAGATTGTTATAGTTTTTATGTGGAGGAGAAGAAAATGTTAAAACAATTTTTTAAAAAACTATCATCAAGGGTTTGCCTCACTACAAACACATGGACATCATCTCAAAACCTTAGTTACATGTGTCTCACTGCTCATTTCATTGATGATGAGTGGAAATTGCACAAAAAAATTTTAAATTTTTGTCCAATTTCTGGTCATTCAGGAGAGATAAT